AAAAAAAAAAAAAAAAAAAAAAAAATCACAAAATTCCAATACTAAAATAACCAGTATGCATCAAAACAGTGAAAACACGCAATTTTGAGAACCTACCTTCTTCCCCCGAATACAACGCACAGTCATTATAGCTGTATTTGAGGCATCTTTCTGCCTAGATACAGCCATAACGACCGTACGTTGTATTCGGGGGAAGAAGGTACATTTCTAGACACTCACAATACACACAACATATGTCTCGCACTGTTTCAGCTTACAAGTCACATCAAGACAGCGCAAAGGTAAGGCCCATCGATCACATGGGACACCAAATAAAGGAGTGCAAACGGCACGGTGAAAACGAGTCCATTGATGAGGGATCAAGGCTTCATCAACAGATGCCAAACATTCTCCGCAGCGCAAACGCCATCCACATTGCACACGCAGAGCATGACAGTGCCACATGAGGTATACGGTCAAAGCAACAACACTGCAAAAACTTATCATGGTTTGCAACATTGCAGTTGGAGTTTGCTGTTGTTGTTTTAGTTCTTTCTTTCCTCATCTTCAAATCATCATTCGCTTTTTTTTTCACCACATTTTCACAGCATCTTCTGGAATGACCAGACTGACCCCATTTTCATCCCTTTCTAAAGTTTTTTCCATACTTGCGGCGCATCTCATGCGCGGGGGCGCGGCACATGCGGCGCAAAGCGCACGCGCATGAGGTGCGCCACACGTGATGCGGCGCATAAAAAAAAAAAAAAAAAAAAAAAAAAAAAAGTTGAAAGTTCAGAGTGGGGTGGCCAAGCACTCCCCTCACTTCTAAAAATTAGAAAGCAAGAGGGGGAAAATTTTGGGCCACGCGATACCCCGAAACTGTGGGGACTCGTCTATAGATGCGAGTATTCATGTCCTAATTGTGTCCAGCCTCTTTTTCGAAGGGCCCCTATAGCGAATTAGCTAGGACCCTACGTGCACCAGACGTGAACTTCAAACTTCCAGTCACCAGCGTGAGCAGAGAATATATACTCTGGATTCGAATTCAGGGATGTGCATCTCGGATTCTCGGTTATGGGTC